TGTGATGCCAGTGGCGAACCTGCCCACCCGGGGCTTCCTGAGCCTAGCGTGCAATGGATGGAGAGAGGCTCGATTGATGCTCAAGAGAATGTCGACAGTGAAACTCAACAGTTGCAGCGCAACTTCAGCAAACCTTATCTTGTGTCGGATTTCGTACATGCATGCATACCTACCAACGTACATAAATACATGCATGCATACATACATACATACATACTTACATTCATACATACATACATACATACATAAATACATACATACATACATACATACATACATACATACATCCATCCATACATACTTACATACATACATACATACATACATACATACACGTACACATACACATATACACGTACACATACACATACACATACACATACACATACATATACATATACATATACACATACACATACACATACACAAACACATACACATACACACACATACACATACACACATACACGCATACACGCATACACGCATACACACATACACACATACACACATACAGACACACACACACACACATACACACACACACATACACATACACATACACATACACATACACATACACATACACATACACATACACATACATACATGCATGCATGCATGCATGCATGCATACATACAGACACACATACATACATACATACATACATGCATACATGCATGCATGCATGCATACATACATTACATACCATACCATGCCATGCCATGCCATACCATACCATACCATACCATACCATACCATACCATACCATACCATACCATACCATACCATACCATACCATACGGTTGGTGGGTCGGTTGGTGGGTTGGTGGGTTGGTGGGTTGGTGGGTGGGTTGGTCGGTTGGTGGGTGGGTTGGTGGGTGGTGGGTTGGTGGGTTGGTGGGTTGGTGGGTTGGTGGGTTGGTGGGTTGGTGGGTTGGTGGGTTGGTGGGTTGGTGGGTTGGTGGGTTGGTGGGTTGGTGGGTTGGTGGGTTGGTGGATTGCTGGATTGGTTGGGTTGGTTGGGTTGGTTGGGTTGGGTTGGTGGGTTGGTTGGTTGGCTGGTTGGTTGGGTTGGGTTGGTGGGTTGGTTGGTTGGCTGTTTGGTTGGTCGGTTGGAGGGTTGGCTGTTTGGTTGGTCGGTTGGTTGGGTGGGTCAGTTGGTTGGTTGGTTGGTTGGCTGGTTGGCTGGCTGGTTGGTCGGTTGGTTGGGTTGGGTTGGTGAGTTGGTGGGTTGGTGGGTTGGTGGGTTGGTGGGTTGGCAGGTTGGCAGGTTGGCGGGTTGGTGGGTTGGTGGGTTGGTGGGTTGGTGGGTTGGTGGGGGTTGGGGTTGGTTGGGTCGGGTTGGGTTGGGTTGGGTTGGGTTGTTTTGGGTTGGGTTGGTTGGGTTGGTTGGGTTGGTTGGGTTGGTTGGGTTGGTTGGGTTGGTTGGGTTGGTTGGGTTGGCAGTTTGGTGGGTTGGTGGGTTGGTGGGTTGGTGGGTTGGTGGGTTGGTGGGGGGTTGGGGTTGGTTGGGTTGGGTTGGGTTGTGTTGGGTTGCGTTGGGTTGGGTTCGTTGGGTTGGATGGGTTGGGTTGGTTGGTTGGTTTGGTTGGTTGGTTGGTGGGTTGGGTTGGGTTGGGTTGGGTTGGGTTGGGTTGGGTTGGGTTGGGTTGGGTTGGGTTGGGTTGGGTTGGGTTGGGTTGGGTTGGGTTGGGTTGGGTTGGGTTGGGTTGGGTTGGGTTGGGTTGGGTTGGGTTGGTTGGTTGGTTGTTGGCTGGCTGAGTGGGTGGCTGGCTGGCTGGCTGGCTGGCTGGCTGGCTGGCTGCTGGCTGGCTGGCAAGGCGACGGGTTAAGCGCGGGAAGATTGCCCCTATCCCCAGCCAGGCAGAGGGAGCACGACTTCTAGCACATGTATGTGTTAGATTCCTCTTGAACCGCCCCATTGTTGCAAGCCTCATCGTCTTGCTGGCGAGCCACAGATATCAAAAAAAATCATGGCCACAAACACCTGGCTTGCAGCCGGCTCACCCTGATGCACTCTGCGAATGCGCATTTTTCTCACGGGTCCAACTTTTGTTGGCCACCTAAATGCGCACATCAGCCACTGTTCGCCACCAGAACCCGTTTACTGACATCTCCAGGCCTCATGGCTTCCTTTCGGCTTCCCTTCAAAATAATTTAAGTGGCAAGAAGGGGTTGCGCGAACACCAACATTTCGCAGCAGTGAACACACTACTCGAAGGTGCAGGGGAACCTGATGAGCGCGCGTGTGAATATGAAACCCCTATGTGCACGAACAAGAGCGTCTTAAGTCGGTGAACTAGTTCAGTCCATGCTAGCAGCATTGTTTGCGTCATTCCAGTTGGACACACTTCTTACCTACTTTCTTGCTGACACGCGCCTTCAAGTAGACATATCATGTTTAGCTCGGCTCTGCCTTCCCGCTTGGTGTTCTGTACTGGGGGTTTGCCAGTCCCCCCATTTTCTTTTTTTTGCTGGGGCAGTAATGGGAGGTTATCAGGGTGATTGCCAGCTGCACTGACATCTCCACCCACAACTCTGCAAAGCCTGCTTGTGTTTGTTCAAAGAGTTGGGCTCCCAGTCGCAGTGAGCTTTCCGTGAAGTGATGTTTCAAAGGGTATTGCGGGGAACCCTGGTGATGTTACCGCGAGTGCCGGCACTCTCGCTCCAAGGTGCCTGCTGGGTCTGGGCTGAGTGCGTTGCAGATTGCGGGAGAAACAGACCGAGCTGCGTGACGCACCGTTGGATGTCAAGGTGCAGAGAGAGAGCACACAGACAGCGACACACGCACCCAAACACACACACACACACACACACGCATAGACAGCGACACACACACACACCCACACCCGCACCCACACCCACACCTGCACCCACACGCAGGATCTTTGCAGGAAGTGCAAGATTCAGCCAACGCTGCGCACTTACAGGTCTAAAGGTTGGAACACCTGTCGACACCCGCAACGGATTTGACGTAATGACACCCAAGCGACGACACATGGTCATGGAGATCATCAAGGAGCTGAAGCACAGGAGATACTTCATCATCGAAAATCCTCAGACATCAGGATCTGTCACCTACATTGCACCCAGCATTTGTTTGCAGATCCAAGAGTCAGCTGGGAAACGTGGGCTTAGAAGCTTAAAGCCAACAAGTTTGATGCATTGCCCAATTGCTGAGGCAATCCTCAGGAAATGCAAGAATTTCGCCAGCTCGGTGAAACACGAGCATCGGCAACTTGAAAGCAATGCAGGCACCTTCGGGAGCAGAACCAAACTGGCGCAAGTCCACCCTTACCAGTTCTGCCAGGATTTCGCCCGCATCATCCCGCGACTGATGCCATTGAAAAGGAGTTGAATTCAACAAGAATGTTCAGCCGTTCGCCATCCAAGACCCGCTCGTCCAGAAGTTACAGAAGACAGCTGCAAGAAGCTGAGAACCTTGTGCGTGTCATCCACTCAGTATGACCAATGCGCAGCATATGTCCGCGCAGTCGGCGTCAACGCGCCGATCTGGCAACCTGGCCAGATGAACAGAATTTGGGTCACGCCTGCGCCCAAATGCAATTGGGGAGAAATTGATGCAAGAACTTCGCGATCATGTATTCATCCGTTCACAGTGCATTCTCAGACGCTCCGGCCGTCCATCATCCAGCATGTGCTGCGTACAAAGACTGGATCCATTGTATGGTCACATTCGTTTTTGGCGCAAGACTGACAGGCGTTCAGCACGACCTTATGACATCTGACGATCAGACCAAGTTCGAAGTCGACAACACCTGAGTCATCGCGACCCATCAAGTTTCCTAAGAGAGGTTCAAGCGCCTCACCAACGAGACGTTCCAAAGCCAAGCAGAGAAACATCCAGAAGACCAAGAACACCTCGCAGCTTTGCAACCAGAAGAATCACTACAACAAGGTCAACGACTACTGCGGAACCAGGATCATCAATCCTGAGTGGACTCTGCGACCGAACCGGATAGCAGCTACCAGGACAAGAAGCAGTAGCCTCCTCAAGCACGAAACCCAATTCTGACACACCGACCAGAGTCTTTTCCATTGACGACGTTTTTTGCAATATCAACCTCATCGTATCAAATTCATGCAGTGAGAGAAGCACAGGATATTTATTTTCCATTTGCCGGACGAACAGCATCCGATCGCACCAAAAAGGTGATCTCAATGATTTGAATATGATTTGCACACTCATCTATTTGAAAGGGCTACGGCGCAAAAGGCCAAGCCTACACATAGATTTTCAATTTCGTGTCTGTTTTGTGTTTACTTTTGCGAAGCACCATTGATCTTCCCACAACCATTTCGGCTCAAGACACCACGCGTGTGAACCTGCGTCAGAGAGAAAGAGCCTTGCGGTACGCTCACAGGGACACCTACCTACATCCAATAGTCTTTACACCCCTTATTGGGACATTGCTGGGTCCTTTAGAAATAGATGCAGGGACCTTAACAAGACACGTCACTCCCTGCCCCCCCCCACACCCCTGCCCACGCGCACGCACGCACGCACCCTGCACACACCCACACACACACAGACGCACGCGCCCTGCACACACACACACACCCACACACCCACACACCCACACACCCACACACCCACACACCCACACACCCACACACCCACACACCCACACACCCACACACCCACACACCCACACACCCACACACCCACACACCCACACACCCACACACCCACACACCCACACACCCACACACCCACACACCCACACACCCACACACCCACACACCCACACGCCCCACCCACACACCCACACGCACACGCCCGCACGCCCACGCGCATTCGCGCCCGCGAGTGCCGCACGCAGGCGCAGGCGCACGCGCACGCGCGCTCGCGCGCGCACGCGCACGGGCACACACTCACACGCGCGCGCGCGCGCAACACGCGCGCAAAGAGTCAGCCATAGACACAGGCGCAGGCATTGCGGGGTTTCTGGCTTTTAATATTGGAAAATCTGAGGCCTCCGCCTGGCAGCCCGCACTGGCGCTGCTGGAGACCATGCGAACGCATGGACGGGGCTTCCAAGCGAGTGAGCGAGCCGGCTGGATGGCCAGGGCCTGGATGTTGTGGGATATCTGTTGTCCCAAAAACCCTACCGTTACTGTTCTTGGCTGTAGAACTAGCTGTGTTTATTTGTTATGTTCTAGTTCATATTGGCCATGCATTTTCAATCTTAGTTCTTGCGCCCTCTAGTGGCAACGCGACGACGGCTGTTTGAGAGGGGGGCCGCTGACAGTTGTAGCACATCTTACGCCGTACTTCAAGTACTTCAAATACACACTATTCTTTGCATTTCCTTTTCAGAACGAGTGTCCTTGGTGTTTATAAACGCTGTTTTTCTTTGCAGAAACCTGGGTCTCCAAGCAGCGCTTGTGAGGGGGGCAAGGGGGGAGGGGCAGGTTCAAGGGGCCGTTTGAAATGGGCGCTGAGAGATTTTGGCAGCAGGTTACGTCTAGATCCGTCATGTTGCACGGGCCAATAATTTGTATGGCGTAATTGTTGTTTTCCATTGTTGGGATGCTTGGCTGAACGTTGCCGCTGAAATCCACCGGTTTTTTTAGGCTAGGAGCCGGATACTTGGAGTAGATTTGTGCTACATGTTTTTCTGAGGCCTCGCCGACACAATCAGCTTCAACGCGACCATCACGGCCTGTGCCAGGGCACGGCAGTGGCAGGCCAGTGAATCAAGAAATGACTCGTGCGTTGTGCTGACATGCTTAGGTGGCAATCTTTTTGCGGGTAGATTCTTCGTGGCAAAGAAGAAGTTAAAGCCTGGCCAGTCATTGCAGAAGCTCATTGCAAGTGGCTGTGTGTGAACCTGAGCATTTGGAAGCCTCCTCCAAATGAAAAAGGTGTCCTATTGATTCAGCCTCCACCTTCCATGGCGATTATGATGCTTGGACACATTTTCATATTTACAGACATAATCATGGATTGGAAGCTTTTGACAACGCGACGTTTGCTTTCAGAGTTTCCGAATCAACAACCGTTGTCATGCGCCGCGTTGCACCCTGTGGTTTCCGTTTCCACCGACCTGGGTCACTCTTTAGCACTCGGCTCACCTCTCTCACCACTTGCTTCTACTGCCGCCCTTTGAAAATCAACCCAGCCTCTACGAAGAACGCCTTCGGCGCAGCCGGCTATCCCCACACCCACAGGTGGCTGTGACAAACTGAGCTCCTCACTTCAGTGAACTTTTGGATAGTGTATGCATGAAGCACGTACACGACCGCACTTAGGCGCCTTGCTCAAGGAAAAGAATTTGTGGCTTAAGGGGTTTTGCTTAGTTTGGTAGCGGAGCTCGTCTCCTGCACCGCAGTCATAGCGGACTTCGATCCGGGCACTCGCTTTCGCCTCTTTCACCTCGACAATCGTTGAGCCGCACAGATCGCCGAAGAGGCAACGCTCTCACTTGGAGAAGGTCTCTGGCCTGATCACTCTCACCCCGACCACCTGCCTGGTCTTCAAGCATCATGGAGCGCAGGCCAGGCGGGACGTTCTTTGTGAGTGGGCAGCGAACATGCAAGAGTGCTGTTCTTCCACCACCTCCGAATGTGGTGTCGGCCAAATGATGGAGCACGCGCCTCTCGTTTTTCAGTTGAGTGGACCCTCAAGTTGGAGGCCTCGACATGGGCAATGTGGCACTTGTTTTTCGGGCCTCTCGAGAAGCGGGACGTCATGCTCCAACTACATGGAGACATGAGCCGCTCAAGGAGGTTCAAGACAAGGAGATCAGGAGATCTGACGAGCTACCATGACATCTCCAAGTAGTATAACATCTCCAAGAAAATGTCCAAGCCTTCGACTGGACTGGCGGAGATCGAGTGACAGCTGGCAGGAAAACTACTGGCGTGAGACCAACCATGACGACAGCTGGTGCATGGACGATGCGTCTACCAGGACTATCCAGTTCAAGACGATCTTGAAGGCACGAAGCTGATGGCAAGCGCAAAGGTCTGATGGGTGGCATTCTGCCGCATCCTGCCCTATGCCAAGACGGAGGAGGAACGCCACGAAGGCCTTCAGGAAAAGGCGGTGGATACTTCAGGCAAGTGCCGCAAAGGCAAGAGCGCAGGAAAAGGCAAGAAGGGCAAGTGCTTCGCCAACTGCAGCGACTGGTACGTCCGGCAGCAGCAGCAGCTACTCCATGCCCGGCAACGATTTCGTCTCGATGCCTCCCAGGCCGTGAACACTCCCGTGACCATTGACAGCTTCGAAGCGTACCTCGTGCCAGAAACACCGACGACTCCGTCAAGAAGTTAAACTGCCGGTCATCGGTCATAGAGGCAAACCAGACCACCTCTCCTAGCAGACTGTGGTTGGCAAGAACGGCCGAGGTCTACTAATTTTCTTGGTGCTTCGGCTGGTCTTAGTGGTCACTTAAGACACGAGACATCATGGACCATTGCCTACGGCCCCTGGAAGGGCAAGACCTCCACTGACGGAATTCCCGGTTCTGCGGTTAGATGGAGGGGACTTCTCCATTCAAGAACCTGACCGCATCGTTCTCTGCAGACGTCGTCGGTGGCGAAGGGTCGCTATGTCCGGCAGTGGTGTCGAGTCCAAACCTTTGGCAACTCGCGCATGCATTCTCACGGAGTGGTTTGCATGGAGGAGATGGACTGTTGGTTTGTCGAGCGGACGACGACAAGGACGGCGAGAACGTGTGCATGATCCGATTGCTACTGGCCGATTCTGGACACTACACCATCCCAATCAACAACGACTCACAGGAAAACTCACCAAAAGCAGCGCAAGCAGACATGGTTACTTTACGGAGAAAGTTGCCTCGTCATCTACTACTATCTGGGACGATGTGAGCCCTGCCGCAAAGAAATGCTGAAGAAGCTGGCAAAGCGCGAGCGGGGTGAACATTATCATAATGTCAGCGACTACAACCAAGTGGATGATCTTCATGAGCTACCATCAGAAGCTGGAAATCTCCTCACGCGACACCAGCGCCACGAATCAGCAGCACAAATGACAACGATAAGAGCGAGGTCCACCGCGCCAAGAAAAAAGTCCGTTTGAATGAGGCTGAAGCAGAGCTGGGAAGTCACCTTCGGATAAAATCAAGTACTGCTGGACCGAACACACGTCCGGAGACGGTTTGCCTGCTTTAGAAATCTCGGTGGACATTCTCGACAACAGCGTTTCACAGGTCTTGGACAACATTCTCATCCCTGAGGAAAAGAAGAAAAACCTCAAGGAGCTTGACCGCGCCATGGCGGAGGAGAGGAGTACTATACCAATTGCAGGCGCTAGGTCATTTCCCTAGACTCCTAAGTCGGGGAGAAAACATGCCCATGCGACTTCGGGCAGTGGTAGTGGCAGTGGGCGTTTGTCTTTTCTTACTCCGATGAGTGAACTGTCCGTTCTCTTCCCGGTGGGCCTCAGGTATGGCTGGGACATCTACCTTATCAGGTCCTGTTTGGCTCTCCCTTGTGCAAGCGCTGGATGATCTCAGCCCACACTGAGAGGCCTATGCAAAAGATGGCGGAACAGTGCAGCTCAAAGCTGCTGGAGGACGCTTTCGAAGACGCTGGATAAGTCAAGGTACTGATCGGGCTATGAGGCTAGACGCCATCGTGCAATTCTGGACTGTGCTTCGCAAACCTCAATTCTCCCTGGTCCTGGAGGTATCAAGGTTGCTCTCCCGGTTCTAAGATCTTCGAGCTCGAGCTGGCGGACAGCGGGCGCTTTTTTTTCTGGTGGCCAGAGGTTGGCTTGGCTCGCAAGAAGGACTTGGACTTTGCCATGGGGTGTCGAAGCAGAGGCGCCGCTGAGGGCAACTGAAGCAAGGAGGGGGCGCCAGCAAAGGCGCCCATGGACACCGGCAGTCTGAGCCTGTCAATGAAACACGGCAGTGTCAAAAATGTGGTTTGGGTTTTCAGTGATCGGAGTGGAATGAGGCAGGAAGCACTTCAGCAGCACGGATTGAGGACGATACACTTTCACCATGATCTGCATTTTCGAGGAGCGCAGATGCTGGAGACGATGCGACCAGCTCTTTTGTGGATGCGACTTGCTGATGGACGCCAATAGACCCGAACGTCTGTGTCGACTAGAACGTGCGCAAGTCGGATCTGGCAGGTTGGTAATCGTGGAGACCGACGTCAACAGCCATTTGGAATCTGCAGTCTGTGAAGGAGACGACAAGCAATGTTCACTCCAACATCGTGGTGCGTCTTGGAGAAGAATGACACCGGGACTATCCCATGCAGTTCGCGAGCGAAGTTGCTCACCAACTTCCCGGTGTTGCCGGTGTCCTGAAGGCGCCCAACATGCTCACGTGAAGCAACTTGAGGAGAACGGATGAGAAGAGAGCGCAATGTGACACATAAGTTGATCGCTCTTCTGTTTCTGGCAGCCTCGGTTGTGACTGGAGCATTGGGACCGCCAAGCGGGCAACCTGAGCTCTTGGCATCTGAGTTTGGAATCGCAAAGCATGGCAACGGCAACTTCGAGACATCGCAGATTGAGCTTGCGCAACATCTCGGCGACCACGAGCGGCCCGAAGCAGACCTCTCCAAGCTGGCGCTTTGTTCCGCGCTGACTGGACACATGAGCAATGCCCTGCCAATACCATGCAATCGCATGCCAAGACGAGTTTTCCGACACAGGTCAGCTGGACACGTGGTCAAACCACGCATGAAGGAGGTGGAGCAGCATTATGATGTCTGTGGTGAAGACTGCTCGCTTTTGGAATTGGTAAAACCATCGAGTGTTTCACACCATGTCAAAGGCCAGTGTTTAGACCTCATGACTTTCGAGCAGTTCAGCGACTTCGGAAGCTGTCAAATTGGCCGCTCAGATAGACATTTGTTGAATGTTTGGCGGCGACGGCAACACGACCAAGGCGCTTACGTGGAGGACTCAACTTTGAGCTGATGGCCGGGGTTGACTTGAGTAGAGAAGCGGACTTCCAGCACATGTTCGACTACCTCAACAACAACGACCCTCTGGCGGTGGTGCTCGCGTGCCGCAAGTGGAGCCATTGGAACAAGAAGAAGGTGCATTACGAAACCTGGGCTCGGTCATTCGAGCGGAGTCAACGCCTTGGCCGGCTGAGCGGGAAGATCGCTCAACATCGAGTCGATCGAGGCAGAGGTTTCTTGGTGGAGCAACCTCATGGAAGTGGTCTCTATCAAGAACCGGAATGGAAGGAGCTGGAACCGATCATGCTCACCGTTGTCTTTGACCAGTGCATGACTGGACTGAAGATGATATCAGAGCCATTTTGGCCGGTGAAGAAGAGAACTGAAAGGTATCGGACCCGGAGTTGCTGCATTTCCTTCAAGGTCTGGACTGTGATGCAGGAGTCACCTCATGCAGGTTTGGCCTCTGAATCTGTGCCTATGGCAAGCAGAGGGAGAAGAAGGACTGTCCAGGATGCCGCGGTCATTGCCGGCGTGATCATGACCGACACACACGCAAGGGCAGTTGTAAGTTCGAGACGGCAGAATGGAAATGTCCGGGATGCACCGAACACTGGCATCGAGCTCATCCGGCACGCACTGGCGACTGTCAGTGGGCTCATGCACGAGAAGTTAAGGGTGCGAGAACGGTGGGGGCATCATCCCCAGGATGGCCAAGCCGTGAGCCGACTGACACTCTCAGCCTGGATCCCAACAAGCGACATCAAATTCCGGACTTTCGGAGACTGGTCTGCTGGAACGGCCTGATGATCCGGAAGCGCGGCGGAAGCTCAAGTTGGCTGACGCGGGAACAAGAACGAGGAGAGCCGATGCTGGCACTCAAGCAAACGCTGAAGCCAGTGAAGATGCGAAACCTGGAAAAGGAGAAGTGAAGCAAACAAGTCTGTAGCTGGCGGATCTGATCCTGATCCTGGCGGAGGTGACGGTGACGACGGAGAAGACGGAGATGATGAAGATGATGGAAGCCCACCTGGCTGGTCGAGGTTCGACCTAGGAGCTGCACTTCAAGCTGTTCGCGAGGGGGTTGAATAGCAGGTCACACTGCGCTACCGTGTTCATCATTTCCGGGAGCTTGCTTGAGGTGACTGCGCGTATTCCGGGTTTGCGCCTCTGCAAACCGAGCATGTGTCCACGCTCAGATACCATCACCAGAACTTCTCTTGAAGTGCCTGCAGCTGACAACAGTGCCTTCATTCGTGCAGCGCTGCAATGATACCATCTGAGATGAAGCCTTCTATAAAGACTACGTGCTGTTCCACGCGGTTAACCTCACGGCCAGATGGTCACTCTTTGGACTGCCGCAGACGCTGATGCCAGATCAAGAAGGCTCTGTGGCAGACTACGTCTCCGACCAGCTGCAGAAGCGTGGAATCGATCTACAGTTGGAGCTGCTAGCAACGTGCGGATTGGCATCAAGACCCTGTTGGGGGAATCCGTCTATGTGAAGAACATCCTCCTCACGGTAGTCAACACAACGCTCCTCTTGGAGAACGTGGTGCTGCTCGAGTTCAGCAGATCGCTATATCTTCTATGGCGCAGGCGACTGCTCAGCAGAAGTTGCTCATCGCAAACAGAGCTAAGACTCGACGAGCTGGAGAGAGACTGGAATTTGAAACAAGCAAAGACACGTCTGGATGGATGGGCCCAGCAACGGTCGCTGATTTGTCAGGGCTACGAGATGGCCTGGTTCATGTGCGATGGCAAGGGCGACTGCTGATAGTTCGAATTTTAAGATGTGAGGAGGCGCTGGTTTTCGCGGTGTTTTTGAGAAGGCCCTCCAACCCGGTGAAGTGGTTTCGAGAAGCAGTTGGTGAAGTTCTCTACGTTTGGGATGGTTCAAGCAAAGTTCGAAGTGGATTCCTTGCGCGGCCAACAACCGCAGGGCTGATGTCCTGCGTGCTGGGCTCTACATCACGGGCGATTGTTTACACCTGCAAGGAACGATCGGATTTCGCTTTGGCAACTCCATCACGGGTGTTCCTGTATGACGATACGGTGATGCTATGGTCAGATCAACCGTTGGAGTTGCTGCTTCCGAAGTATGTGAATCTGGAGAGACTGACCGGTAAAAAAAACATCTCCTTTGTGCAGCTCTTCATGGTCGATGATAATCTGGTCAGTGAACTTCGAGGACAAGTTGATGACGATACTCCTCACGTTGGCAGGCCTCATGAACCCAACATGCCCAACCTACCGGAGATCGCTAGCAGCAGCAACGCTCGGAAAAGTCCGAGAAGGAAGGCAATTGCTGATGGACCAGTTGATCAACCAGAGCCTCAACACGCAGGTGCTGAAGCTGTGATGACGCCTTGCATCGGCATCTTCTAATCGGAATTTGGGAAACACGCCCCGAGGTTCACAGCAAGAAGAAGGTGAGGAGCTCAATGAGTCAGATGGAACAGATGTGGAGAATGGTGCCCTCTACCAGAACGAGCCTCCGGCAGTGGCTGACTGGATGGAGTGAAGATGATCCCGTGTCTTTAAGACTGAGCAATTGAGTGATGGACTACGTCACCGGTGGTGCTGAAGAACTTCGGAAAGAGATGGAGCCTGGAGACACGGTGGCAGTTACCGTGGAGAAAAAGCATCGTGTGCTTACTCGCGAAGAAGCTTTGGAGCGAGCAGAGGATTGTCGAGAGTCGATGATTCAAGAGCTTCAGAAGTGGATCAAGCGTAAGGCCTGGACCAGAACTTCGCGTCGCAGCAAGCGGGCGCTGAAGTGGAAGCAGCTTCCTCAAAACGTGAAGGTGATCATGGTTGCTCAAGGTTTCCTTGACGATCAGAAGACAGAGAGTTCTGCAGCAACCAGCGCAAAGTGGTCTCAGAGGCTCCTGATCATAGTGGTTGTCAATCGAGGATGGACAATTCACTCGGCGGACATCTCGGAGGCGTTCCTGAGGGGTTCGACCTTCGATGAGCTGGCGGAAGCTGGTGAGACAGAACGAGAAGTTGCTTTGCAGGCAGCTGCCGCCCCTCAACCTGAACAGTGGTCAGGTACTTGAAGGCGCAACCTTTCAAGCTGGTGTATAGCCGGTCCTCTTCGCTGGTGATCACGGACTTGGCCTACAAAGGTGAAGATCAAGACCATCTTGCTGCGCGGAGTGGTTTGATAGCTCTGACCAATAAAGATGGGCCGATTTTGTTGGTGACAATCGCACTCAAGTGTTGGAGTATGTCTCAAAGAAGCTCTGCAGCGCGCTGGACTGGGGTTGGCGCTCAACGCGGCCATGATGATGCACGATGTGGAGAACTGCACGGAAAAGCCGGGAGTTCTTGCAGAACGGCTTGAACAAGGACGGCTGGGCATCAGCATCAACAATGTCATCGATGCCCGGTCGGTCTTTGATTGCTCGGCTGCCACGGAGCTCAAGTGCCAGAGTGATGGTTCAACGCATATCCACGCTCTTAAGTGCTCAGAACAGGACGCCGCCTCATTTGGTGTGACGCTACGGACATGTTGGCGGACGGCCTCAACAAGGGCGTGGCGGAAAGACTAGCGCTGCGACAAGCAGCAGAGCTTGGCGTTTGGAAGGTGGCTCATGAGATGAAGAGAAGGTCGTTGAAGCTTCTAGTCAATGGCATGTCTTCGAGGATCGCGTGGTCTGCAAGAGAGGCAGACACCAAGCCTTCCGGTTCCCCTGGAGAAGCTTGGGCACAGGCGGGTGACAACCATGCTGGCGTCCGATGGATTGGCGCTACGACTTTGTGGTTCGCCTCGGCAACACTCCAAGAGTTGTGCGTCTGAGTGGGACTGCTTAGGCAAAGCCTGAAAGCGCAACCTGAGTTCAGAGGTACGTACCATGTGGAACCTACATGTATGTGCTGCGGCTGTTTGGCATAGACCCCTTAGTTCGAGAACTAGCACTGCCCACCGGGCCACCTTGCTGATGACACGCGGAGCCTCGCGCAAGGGCGCTGCGGCCTTTCGTCGACCTGTTCTACTTGACGCACGTCAGGGGCATGCTGGTTTCAACTAGGGGGGTGCACGGCCTGGAGCATAGATGTATATGTAGATGTGACCATCCTGAGTTGCTGTGTTTTCCTCTGGCGGGGGTCCCACATCCGGCCAGGTGGGGCTTTTGCTGCTGCAGGCCCTGCAGGCTGATGGGCGGCTCCCGCCCAGCGCTACCACGTTGGGTGCGGCCGTGTCTGCCTGTGAGAAAGGCAGTGGCCTCAGGCCGGTCCTATGAACCAAGGTCTCCCAAGTCTCGCAGACGGATGGTTTGGTGGTTCTCCCACTGGTCTTGCTTCGTTGTGCAACCTGTGTGTTAAACCCGGTTGGCCCATTTTTGGGGTTCGGACCAACAAGCTGACTGGTCTCCCATTTGCTCCCCAATTTCCCTTGATACTAGTACAGTTCTGCTGAAATGTTTTTCCATTATGTATCATTTTGAAGCTGTCAATTTGTTCTTGACATTCTGCACTGGAAGCTGCTCCTTTCGCGTTTCCTGTTCCAACATGCTCGTGTTGCAGCGCGTTTCTAATTCTAGCTCAACGGCTATCTCTTTTGAAACTCGGTTTGGCAAATCAATAATTCTGAGGCGTCGTTTGCAAATTTGGAAGGAAGATGAGAATCCTCTTGAGTTTGAGATCTCTGGCAGATCAGGTGGCAAGGCGGGCCATCCGCTGAATCAACGACGCTGCAGGTGAGTTTTGGCGCGGCGCGCTGCATCTCCTCGCGGAGGGCATCGGGGAGAGTCCCAGGCGCGGGATCGGTGGGGTTTGAAGTGGTGCTTGTAATTGGGAAACCGGAAGGGGAAGCTGACATGCACCGTCTTTGTCCTACACAATACTCGAACACCTGGACGTCCCAGGTTCAGGGCTGAACATTGACCAGGTTCAGGGCTGAACATTGACCAAGTTGTGGGATGGAGGGCGCCCAACATCAGCCATCAGCCGGCCGAAGCTAGGCGAGCTACAGTAACCAAAGGGACACGAGCCAATTTGTGAAGACATGACACTTCATTCCCCGTTGCATGATTCTGGTCCTTGCAACAGACGCCTGAATGAGTGCACGTGTACATCCCCCTTTTGCGCCTCTCAGAGTGTCTTTCAGTTGTAGCCATTCGGGCCGTTTCACTCCACACCAGGAATGGCGGCCAAAAGATGTTCGGCGCGGCTCGCGTGAGACGTTAGGCTGAAGCCCAACATATTGGCCTTCAGCGCAGCTGTGAATGCCTGTGGCCGGGGCCTGCGCCTGGCAGCCCAAGCTGTCAGCACATTTGGGCAGTTTTTGGGAGGGCCGATCCGGGTTTCCGGGCCATGTCCCTAAGGGAACCACCAAAAGTGGATCGATCGTTTCAATGGAACTTCGGTTGAAGGGAAAATCTAGCCCCTGCTGGTGGATTGGTGAACTTGGTGTTGAACAGTGACAGTGACGCAGTGCTCATAATTGAGCCAGGACACACGCGTCAAGGCGCCCGCGTACTTGGCCCGAGGGGAATCCCATCATCCGAAATTTGGATGATGGGATTCCTGTTAAGGGAACCGCCATGACCCACAAAAACGGTTTTGACTATGGCACACACTTTGTCATGCTCACGTTTCGCGGGGTCCCTGGATTTGAGACTGTAGCTCACGATTGGGTTAGATTCGGTTTCCCCTTTGACATGCACGCGCAAGTTGCAAGCAGAAATTCTACTTAATTGGAAGTCTGACTTTGGCTCCACATCAAGTTGTAGGGGCCCGATCTAGTTGGGTACCTGCTTGCATAGAGCCTGACCCAGTTGAACGAACTCCTGCTTGTCTTTTCCGGTTTCGAACCATCCAAAAATATGGCTCCGGCTAGCTTTGCCCCGTTCCCAGCTACTGATTAGAAGTTCGATCTTCGGATTTCCAAACAAACTCCCTGTTTTGAGTGCATCTTACGCGCGTTTGTTTGGGGTTTTGACTCAGTTTCTCGCGCGAGATCAGAAAGGGGCGCGAGGCCTTGAGAGGTGAAGAGCGAGGTGATTCGCAGATGCGTCTGTGTCTGTAAGTCAGTCAACCCCAAAAAGGATACTCTAAAAGAACATATACTCTTATTGCTCAGTGTTCCAGAGGATCGAGACCACAAGTGGAAGAGGGAAGTCTGTTGGAAGTGGCTCACTGGACGAATGAAGCCGTTTCACCTCCTCCAAACGAAAGTCGCTCCTAGAGTTGAAGCCGAAAACCGGGGGGGGGGGGGGGGAATTGTTTGGCCCATCGGTTGTAAAGCAGGTAAGCCACATTCGTGGCTTGCCATGGGAAATGATTGGCCGGCAGATCGAGGCTGGGATTTTAGCCTGCGGCTGCTGAGCGAGGCTCGGGAGCCCGGGACCCCAGGTTCGATGAAATGTTTGCTAAGGAAATCAAATCCCCAACTAAGCCTTCAGGACAAACCCTGGTGGGAATGTCACCCTTGCAAAAGGCCCTTTGAATGTCACCCGAGTTGGATCTACCTTCATTCGAGGTGGATACGAATCCCGAATGTTCACATCGAATTTTTGTTTCCCTTTTGGTGTCCCTTTGAACCCAGATGAAAAAACATATGTATATCTCTATATGTATGTTCCAGGCCGTGGACCCCCCCCCCCCCCTCCCCCCATTTAGGGGGAATTCCAGACTCATAATTTGTCTGATTAGTGTAATTATTCTAACTATTCTAATCATTCTAATTAATTAGAATAATTAGTATAATTCGAATCATTAGAATAATTAAAACAAAAACAATTTGTTCTGTTCATTGTAATTCTTCTATTTATTTCCTCTTGGGGGGATTCCAGACTCATAATTTTCTAATTATTATAATTATTCTAATCATCCTAATTATTATAACTATGCTCATTATTCTAATTAATCCCCTTTGAGTGGAATTCCAGACTCATTTTGTTTTGCTCATTATTATTATAATCCTAGTTATTCTAATTGCTATAATTAGAACATACAAAGAAGCTAATGTGTTTCTATTTGTTTTAATTATTCTAATTATGTCCCTTTGGGGGGAACTCCAGACTCAGAATATTTAGAAAAGTAGAATAACTAGAACAAAAATATAGGCTATTTTTTCTATTTGTGCTATTGATTCTAATTATTTCCCTTTGGGGGAATTTCAAACTCATAATTTGACTCATATTTTTTTTTCATTTTTCAATTTAGTCGATTTTTCTGATTACTCTGATTCTAATTAAGCAGAATAATTAGAAAATTAAAAATAGTTATACTTTTTGTTGCCTCGTGACAATCATTTTGCGGTTGTGCGGCGTGATACTCTCGCAGATCTCCTTGTATTAGTATTGGTTCGCCTCTACATCGATCAGGACGAAGTTGACCCGGGCCTCGCTAGCTGGACCGGTGGGCCGCCCTGACCAAACCTGAAACCTGGTGCCGGGAGTGCTGGGCGCTGCCTGATTCAGACCTAGTACTGTGCTGTGTGCTTTGCCCGTCCGGGCCTGTCGGCATTTGGCTCTCTTTACGTCTCGCGGTTGCTCGCATGTCCAATTTGAAAAACCTCTTGCTGTCCGCAGAAGAAGGAGCAATCGGAAGGCATCTTTTTCCGTGCAAACGCCAACAATTTCCGACCCTTAGACGGTCTTCGAAGTGGCATTTGTGAAACGGCAGCCTTTTAGGCTTCCGGAAGTTGCAGCTATCATAAGGGTTCGGCACTCATGAAGCGGGGGTCCTGCCATGTGTCAGCACATCGATGACATCGGACAAAGTCTGCTGGATCTTGGCACAGAGGATTCCTGGAAAGCTCCTTTGTGCAGGACTTGCGATTGAAGTGAATTCAGGGCTGGGGCAGGGCCGTTGTTTCAGGTCGTCAAATTGGTTTGAGAGACAAATGAATGTGCATATATATATATATATACACACGTGTGTGTGTGTGTGAAAGCTTGAAACCCATGGAAGCTACAGTTGTCTTATTGGACCTTCCAGTGCCCATGAGTCCATGCTCCCAGGGCCAACCTGGAGCTAGATGCGGGGAAGCCAAGAAACATGGGCAGCGAGGCGAGGGGAGAAACCTTCAGATGCAGAGAGACCCTGTGGTGCACTGGTAGCAAGGCACGGAGTATGGGGGGCCCACATGCAGGGCTTCGGAGGGAATCCGCATTTTGTTCAACGTGGCCTTTCAAATTTTCACGACCTTCTTGGTTTAGCTGTCAGCTTTGGTGGCGCAGATTGGTACAAACTCGTGCTGTGGTTTGGCCCAGAGCTGCACATGGGCCGTGAGCCTTCAAGCAGCCCTGCTTGACTTCGGAATCGCCGTTGCGCAATCCCCAAGTATTTCATGTCCTCATTTCCATCGCAGTTTGTGAGCGCATATGCGGTCCATGCTCACTTGAGGGTTTTGACAAACAGTTTCATACGGCCCGCATGCCAAAAATAGGTTCGGGGGGCGATTGGCAGGTGCGACCTGCCTCTGGGTGGCCAGATTCTCCTTCCTTTTTGATTTCCCTTGATTTTTGGCAATGATTCCCCCCTGATCCCCTCGGGTGCTCCCCTTCCATCGGTTTCCGAATCCGTCCGTCCTGGGCACACAGGCCATCACCTACAACTGCGCGGTGGGCGCCTGCGCCCGGGCGCGGAGGTGCGGGAGTTTCGGATGCTACGGAAGAGGGATGGGAAGAGGGGGGAAGCGGACTTTTGGTGAGGCTGCGCGTGTCCAGTGAAACAAAGTCGTTGCGCTTTGAACCTCACGCGTCCAATTTTCAAGCAGGTGGCACTTTGGGTTCTTGGATACCCACCTTTTGTTGAGAGCAGAACCTTTGGATCCCCCCCTTCCGATATTTTGGGAAACACTCAATTTCACCCAGACGCCCAGGTGGGAGGACGCCCTGAGCCTTGTGCCGGGGTCTTGGATTGGCACGGGGATGACGCGAGCGGCGAGCGGCGAGCGGCTCCCAGCCAGCCGGTGTTTGACAACTTTTGGTTGGTTTAGTGGTCGGGTGTCCGTATTTCACCCAGAAGTTCCACTTGTAGCAGGGGATCTGAGGGCAGCCCGGGCTTTTGGGAATGACTCATCCTAGTTTGGAACTGTTTTGGACGAAACGCGCTGGGAGCAGTCAGCTTTGGTGATATCACTTCGCTGGGGGACTCAAGGCCAGCGTTGCCAGATTCAGATGCGGTGTAAGGTCTGAGATGTGGGCTTTTGACATTGTGCCTGACTATGTCACTCGCAAGGACCGGCCGTGCCGGGCTTCGGTGCCGGGCTTCGGTGGTTGTACTACCGTGGCTTCCAGTGGGGCGTCTGGTAAGCGGATGTCGCGACCTGCCTTCACTTGTGGTTGGATCGGTTTGTAGACACGGGCCAAGCAGAAGCCAAAAACGCATCCGACTTGTGGGTAATTATGTGCGTCCAAGCACAAGGTCTACGTTCACGTGTGGATTATGCTGGCATTCTCCGTACTTGTGACAGGAATGTGGGCACGTGCCTTTTTTGAGGGTGCCCTTTTCAATTTGTTGGGGTAGCGGGAAACCACAGGAGCCCCCCCTTAATTTTGAGACAAAGCCATGACATGTCATGGGGTATGTGGGGTTCTGGGGTTCGATGTTTGTGGGAAACAATTAAGTAGCAAATTGGTGAGCCTTGCGCATCTACAGTTTTGCTTTGATTGTTGGTGTTCTCGTGTTTTTTTTCTTCTGCTGCTGTCGTTTGCCGGGTTCGGGCCTGGAAGAAGTTGGAAGGGGTTGTGGGGGTGTAACCACGTAGCTAGAATGGCACTATATGATATGCCATTGAGGGAGCTGGACTCATGAATGTCTGCACCTCACATATGCTGCAACAAACGTCTGATACATTTCAAGCCAGGCAGCTTCTAGACAAATATTTGATTTCTATTTGTCGACATATGACATATGCTACAACACACTCGTGAATCATTGAAGCATCAGCTAAACACATCTTTGGAAGGCCATGGGGAGGAGAGCCAGACTATGAACGGGACATGTTTGGGACACCAGCAGACCGCCTGGGACGCCATTGGGCCAAGGACACCACTGGGACAGGGACGGGAAACCAGGCACCGGAACAATTCGGCCATGGGCACAACACCGTGACGCCGACCAAGACACAAAGCGAAACACCGGAGCACAGCGCTGCAACACCCGGAATGTATGGGGGCACTAGTACTACCCGGAACAGCACCGATACACCAGGACACTGACCAGGACACCAGTGCAACCACGAAACCAACCAGGACGTCGAATGGGACACACCGGAAAACTGCCACTGAAGCAGCCTCCTGAACAGCACGTTGCCAGCACACTACTGGGACACTACCAGGAACGACAATCGGCCGAACACCAGCGGGACGCCACCGGTACAGCCAACCGGCACAGCACCGGGAGAATCAGTGCAGCAAAGAACAAGCGCCCGGACATCAGCAAACACGACACACTGGGCCACCCGGGACACTGCTGGAATACAACCTGAAAAACGTCAGCCAGAACAAGCAACATCAAGACACCGTCGGGACATTGCCGGAAGGCCACCAGAATGCCGTGACACTGACACATCACCAGCGCAGCACCACACACACACACAAGACACCGCCGGAAAAACGAAACACTCCTGGGACACCAGCCGAGAAGCCTCCGACATCCTCCGGCACCGCGGGACACCGTGGGGACGCCATTGGGACACCACACAGGGACGCCACCGGGCCGCGAAAACACCATGAAACACAACACAACCCGGACACCAACGGGGACACTCGCCAGGTAACTGGTATTAGACCCACAGCTGGACGCCATTGGGAGACTAGTCAGAAGCCGATAGAGCAGCTAGAAATACACTGGACTTTTGCCCGCGACATGAATCACTACACATATTTGGGAGCTATGCTAGGAGCACAAGAGACATATGTGAGAAGTATAGCAGGCTTGCTGCGCATCATGTTCCATTCATATGTTTCAGTTATGTCGGCCATGTGATGGGTGTAGGCTTCTCATTTGTAGTCTAACTAAGCATATGTTATTCATGCAGTAATTAGAAGTCATACACGTAAAGATTATATAAGCGTACTGTGTACATGTGCCCCGTGTTCTAATCAAGATGCAAACACCCCCCTGGTGACCCGTTCTCCGACAAACCTCTTTTTCGGGCCCTTTTGGGATCTCATTTTGAGGGCAAAACAAAGGAACACGCGGCTGGGCGATGAAGCCACCTTGCTCTCAGTCAACAATGGCGATCAGCCACATTTTCCCCGATGGTTCCCAGGCGGGACTTGAACCATCCTGTCAGAATAGAGCGAGAGAGCTTGTGGAAAAGAAGCATGAATGCCCCCTCTCCAACAATCATAGACACTTCGGGAATTGGAAGACTACCGTCCCCTCATGGCCGGACAAAGGGAGTGCAGAAATAGAAAAGCCGGTCACCAGGTTTCAACTGGTGGTTGGCCCAAGCCTACAACTCGTGGCATCTCGAAAGGAATTGGCCCCAAAAGAGGCACGCCATTGTTGAGTCGGAGATGTTTGCTGGATGTGGCAAGCCGTTCTTTGGCTCTATGTTTTTGGAAAGATCCGGGGAACCGTTAAACAGCTTGTCAACCAAGTTGCTTCAAGCTCGTGCGAACGCCTTTGGTGTCTCCTCCCTCGGGCCCCCAACTCCCAATTTCGCTTGGCTCCGCGATGGCCAGCTCGCGGCAACGGCGGTGGGCAGCCAAGGCCTCGAGCCGCGGCAAAATCGGGATGCCCCGAAACACGAATCTTGGCCTTCCTTTTGGTTGCTTTGCGTTTGGTTTCCCGGACCAAGCCTAACTAACCTCCAAAAACCGCAGCCTCCAACTTTGCCCAACACTGGGGGCTTCTCATTTCGCAATCTGCACCGTTCAAAACCTCAACAAATTCTTGAGGGTAGGTGTTCCAAGCGAAGCACAAGCTTCCGAGCTCGCCTGGCCTGCCGTTTCGGAAGGGAGCATGACCATGTTGCCATGGTTAACAAATACCAAAGTGCAATATGGCCCAGCCTCCGTCAGGTTCCACTGTCTGGCTGACTGGTGGATTTGTATGGAGGGTGTTTAAGGGGGGCGGTCGACAACCCCCATCAAACTTGATCATCATCGTAGAACCGAAGTCAATGGGTTTGGGGCACTGTGAGCTTAGGGCAAGCACTGCCGCTTGTTCGGTTGATGTAGGCCAGTTTGACCCGAATTGGCATGCGGTGAACCCTGGTTCGGCTGACGGTCCCAGGAAGCAAGGCAGAGGTGTCCCTGGTCGTAGACGCTTTGGTTTTGACCGTTTCTTAGTGGGAATCCATGCATCTTCCCATACACTTAGGCAAGGCAGAGCCCGACGTCCGATCCAAAAGACAAGTTTCAGTTTCTGAGCCACTTGTCCTCAACTCCGTACATTGCATGCTTCAACACATTCTGCCAACAGGTAGAATAGTTCTATGATATCTATGCTTCAAATGTTCAATCCATACACGACATACATTTATACATTCATATAAGCATATTTAATCAAGTATCTCTGACTATTGTGCTGTTCACATCACGTACTGTGAAATTTCCGCCACAAGCCGGAGACAGGGCCAAGGGAGCTTCCTCTATTCGTTTGCGGGGTTTCAGGGACCTCCACTGTAAAGCCTATGAGAGCCTTAGGCCGAGCGCGTTTGGCTACAAGAAACAAAGCGAAGCGGGTGTAATGCATCCATGGCCAAGTGGCACAATCAGCCCAAAATCTAAAAAGTTGCGAAGGGACTGCCTGAATCTGTCTGGGTTCAAGTCGGGCATTTCCAAGGAACCCTCATGGATCTCTCATTTGCCTCAGAGAAACACCAAGGATTTTTTTCCCGCATCCGTGTTGTTGTTTTTTTTTGGGGGGGGAGAGGGGCGGGGGGTTGGGTTTCTGGTTCAGGGGAGAGGCTCGAGGAGGCCTTCCGGCGACCCGTGCAGGCGGGGTCCAAAGGGATTTCGAATTTCTTGTGGTGTTTGTGGTGGTTGTTCTCGTAAGACTGGCACATAAATCGGATGTGGAGTTTTATTGCTTGGATCCGTTGGTGGAGAGTGGACGGTAAAGAAATACATGGGGGTTGTGTGCACCATTTGAGGGCTTTTCCAGCTGAATCCATAGCCAAACGGGTGTTGCCAACATAGGGCCCCAATTGGGGCGGGTTGCAAGGAGATTGAACGGAGACAACACATGATGACATGTTGAAGGAATCGGACACACCCAAATCACCGAATGGTCATTCAACTGTAATTCCGGCATTCCGCCCAGTGATTTGGATTGAATCGGGGGAATGCTAATCAAGTCCAGAACCAGTCATGCCATTTACTGTAGGCATTCAAGGGATATCATCCATCGGAACATCCTTTCGAGACTGACACTGGAAGCCAGAAATTGGGAACCTCAATCATGTCAACGGGTTGATCAAAAGGTCCCTACCAGTCAGAGGAACCCGAAGTAAATCATTGATCTTCAGGGAAGCCCTGATTCGTGCGGTCGGACCATGGATCACCGGCCACTGTTCCCCAGACCCGGAGCCATGCCTCTAGGCTTCTGCCGTCAGCGTTGACAAGGCCGCGCTGGATGGCAGGAGTGAGTGGCAAGTCCACCCCGGGGATTCGAAGTCTTTGATTGAATGAACTTGGGCAAGGTGGACGTGCAAATCCCACAAAAGAGCAGACGAAGCATGATTTTAATACTGGTTGATAAACCATCCACCAACTGCAGGGAACCGTCCATCCGTATGTGATGATTAGCAAGGTGCAAGGCCAAGGCCTCTGAGTGTCACTAGTGAGTTCAGCAGCGTGCCCCACGTGAACATTCGGTGCAGGATCTATGGGCACACACCTGTTCTGCAGGACGAGGTTATTCAGGCGCGCCCATCTCCTTGCGGTCGCACAGGGCTGTTGATTTTGATGTATGGCCTGTGGAGATTTCCCCGTCACCAAATATTTGTATTCATCATCTCATCTCATACTTTCCTTGGAGGGCCCAGAGTATCCAGCCTGGACAACTCAAGCCCAAAATGGGCGACTCGCCTAAAATGGATGTGGGTAAACACCAATGGTACCACTTTGGGGTAGGTGAATTCACCACCGATTTCAGAACCTACTTTAGTGGTTGGATTGAATCGGATGTTCACTGGGGGTACGATTTGGATGTTGAGCCATGGCCAAGCTCGCCCCTCCCTTTGGGTTTTGGTAGGCGCTCTGTGCCGCAGCCCCCAGCGATGGTGTCCTGGCGGATGCCACCTTCGGCCGCGGCGGGCACACCAGGCGCGGGGCTGAAACCCCCTCCCAAGGCGTCCTTCCCAGAGGAACCAGGGGGGTTTGGGGAGTGTGGGGGGAGGGGTGGGGTGGGGGGGGTGGGGGGAGGGGGGGGGGGGAGGGGGGTGGGTTTGGTCACGGCACTTCGATCACTTACGCTGATAGAAGCTTGGTTGGAAGTCAAAGACCCTCTGTTTGGCACTGTGTCACATACCTAGAAATGCCTACCAGTAAATCTGGCGAAGCTTGGCGGACGTTTTACAAAACAATGACAGACGGCAGGCAGTGAGCTAGAACGTCTAATTCAGGAGCAAGCTTGTTGTCCAACTGGCTAGTTCCGTTCGCTAGCTTGCCAATTCGTTATGTTAGTTAGCTAGCTTAGTAGTTTGTTAGTTCGTTAGTCAGTTAGTTAGCCAACTAGTTGGTTAGTTATTTAGTTCATTAGCTGGCCAGCGACTTGGCTAGTTTGCTAGCTAGTTTGCTCAGTCATGGTTAGCTAGTGAGCAAGTTAACTGGATTGTCAGCTAGCTTGCGAATTATCAAGTTGCCTGGCTGGTTTGCAGTTAGCTAGTGTAAGAGTAAGCTAGTTAGCCAATTAGCTAGCTAGGTTACCTAACTAGCCAGCTACAGCTAGCCAGCTGGCCAGCCAGGTAGCTGCTACATAGTTCGCAAGCCAGTTCGTGAACTAGCAGCTGCTCAGCTGCTTTTTCGATTGTTGGCTAGTTCGCTAGCCGATTCACCGTTTAGCTGAAAGCGGCAACCAAAGACGAGTTGACGTCCCGAACGTACGGGTCGCCCCTACGAAAGTCCGCAGATGGGTCGCCGTTTGGGGGTTTTGTGACCTTCCTGGTTTGAGCCATGCCGTGGCTTGACCTCTCCGAGTTTTGCATTCAATCCAGTTGCTGCGTCCCGACAAGCCCTGGACCCGCTCGAAGGTCCCGGTGATCCCGCCATGCCCCGTTTTCCCGTTGTTGACCGAGTTCCAACTCTGCAACGGCTGCTCCCCCGGAGATCTGGGCTTCCACTTCAATCCGGCAGGGCGCTCTTGGATCGACTGCCGCGCGCCACGGCACGGCGGCTTGGCCCGGATGGTGGGTTCTTTTGTATGACGGGTTGGTCTGGCTGATTCGCCGGCTGGCCGGCCGGTGCGCTTGTTTGCTGGTTAGTTGGTTGGCTGATTCGCCGGCTGGCTGGCTGGCTAGTTTGTTGGCTAAGGGGGTCACAGACTCTTTGCTGTCAGATGCCGCGAAGCACGCATTGCCTCGCAGAGGAGATTCTTTGGCAGATTGGTTGAGGCGGTTGCTCGTGTTTCAACAACTACATATGATCTTCACATGCATGTTATGTTTTGTATAGTGTGTAGACACCTTACTGTCTGTGCATATGCAGACATGCATGTACACACACACAAGCACGTGTTCAAAGGATTGTGCCCACTCAAGGTTTGAGACTTGCGTTCCGAGTCAGATTTTGCGGCAAAGACGACCTCAAGAACATCAGAGAGTGTTGTACGCGGAAAAGAGCAGGTGTTCAAAGGCTTCGAGGTGTGGAACTCCCTGTGCTTTTTGGTTAGCTACTGGTAGTTTTAATACTAGATTGAGGTGTCTTAAAATTAGGGGCACTTGTTGGTATCCCCTTCAAACGGCGGCAAGGCGCAAGGCGGCAGGGTCCAGAAAGAAAGGGCCCGAATTTTACCAACCCAGCTGCTGTACGGCTGGGAGTCCTCGCTGGCCTCCAGGTCTTTGCTTTGGATGTGGACCCTTCTGCGGTCTCGGAGGCGACGCGACGTGAGAGTCTGTAAAAGTTGGAATGCCAAAGAGAAACGACCATTTTGGGATTTTCGTTCAAGACAGACCCATGCTTGTGTGTGTGTGTGGGTGCCTCGGTGAAACCGGAGGAAGGTCCTGGCCGGCGCGCAGAGGGCGTGGGTGGCTTTGCGTTGCTTGTCGGGAGCAGATGAGTAAAGATCTTCCAGACCTCGCCGCTCCCTACTTTGCTTCCCTCTGGTGCTCGAGACTGTGAGTCGTGATGCAGGGCTTCCAACACCTCACCTCCAAATTTCAAGTTTGTCTCAAGACAGGGGACCTTGAAATTGCTACACACAGCATCCCGGCAAAAGGCTCCACGTTCAAATCCTGCACCCCCAAACGTGCAGGACTTCAAATTTGCACCGGTGCAGCTGCCCTCCTGCTTCCCCTTGACCCACCAAAAGCGCCCCCCAACCCCGGTCATTCCTCTGGCGCAGGCCCGGCGCCTGGCGGTGCTGGAGCCGAGGCTCCGGCCGCTGCCGACGGCTCGGCTCGAAGACCGAACTCCGGCGAAATCCGGAGTTTTTGGGGACTGAAAGTCTAGGTCCCCCAGCAATTGGTGCCCTTTCTTAACCCTGTTTTTGGGGGAGGGTTCTTTTGACCAACTTTTGTGGTTGGGAGGGTTCTACTAAAATAGACTTCCGAAAAAGTTGGTACCCTTCTTCTGATCCCTCTACTGGAGGACCTAGAAGTGGACTCTTTGGCCCAGGGGCAAAGAGTTTGGAGGGATGTGAGCAAATGCCGGCGGAGAGGAGCAAATTGGGTCCAATCGAAAGCAGTGCCGCTACAATCTCTTTTGCAAGTCCAGGTGCTAAATAGCCCAAGTTTCTAATTCCTTTGCCCCAAAGGGCGCCAAAAGGATGGTCGATTTTTCAGACCACTTACGTAGCACCCCGAAAAGAAACTTCTGTTTTGAAGGAAAACCAAAGGAGCGACAGGGACGTCCTCAAAAATGGATGGTGCTTCAAAGGAAACACACCACCCATGTTAAACTCATGTCTCCCTTACTTACTTGTGATTTGCCTTAAACGGGCGCAGGCATCGGTCCGGTTTCGATCGGGGGCACTTGATTGAGTCCGATGGAAGAATGGATTTGCACTTGTTTGAGTCCGGTGTCCAATCAACTCAGGTGGAGAACCGCACAAGGTTGCAGGTTTTCAGCACAAAGGCCCTTTGAGACAGAGCTCTGCTCGAGGTGTGGAGGTTCCGCTTGCGTTTTTGGGGTCCCATGTTTTGGGGGTGAACTTGAAGGGAAACCCGAACGGACGACCCATTTTGGGTCCCCCTTTGATGCCCCTCACTCAGCGGGCCTTAGGCACGCAGCCTTTGGAGACCTTGCAGAGGCCTGGATTTGGATGTCCTACTTACCCCCCCACCAAAAGGCCTTCTGCGATTTTTTGGGGCAGATGGCCTATGGCCTGTATACGACCCATTTCTGCCGCATGCCCTGAGGCCGAGGTGAGTAAGGGCTTAGACGTACGCAAAAGGGACTTATCCACCAGTGTACTTCAAGGGGATTCACCCGGTTTCTGTGTTGTCTAGACAACCACACCCCTTACTGCGTAGAAGTTGAACTCTGTTTGGAGCAGCTGATGTGTGAATGGGTTCCCTTGACACACGGAGCGGTTGCAGGAGGATGTATACCGGCCAACGAACCTCGCATTGCTTGCCGCATATTTGTTTTAATTCCCTGCTTCTCAACATGCTGTTCATTGCGCCAGGTGACTTTGTAGTTAAGAGGATGCCGCAGGATGCCACACTTGGTTCAACCTTTGTGCCTTCTTCACCAGCCCAGCCAACTTTCTTTTCAGCCAGTTTCTTCCAGCTACTCTCCTACAAATGATCCAGGCAGACCCCAAAAGGGGTTCACCCCGAACGAAGCTTCCATCGAACACTTGTGTTTGGGCTCCATGTCAAGTTTCAAGAGAGTGTCCATTGAACCCTTCTTTAGAGCACCTTGCCCATACAGATCCTTCATTCTGGAAAGCCACCAGACGACCCGGGGAAACGACTGGCTTTTGAAAACAAAGGATAGTTTGAAAGAATAGGAAAGGAGATAGCCCATCCATCCCCCTCCGTCTTCCTGGCTGTTTCTCAAAAAAAGGGGGTCCGTCTCTTTTTGAGAACCACTCAGCTCCCTCTATTAATGTTGTCAGATGAATCTGGATTGGCAAAACGATTTGCGGGGCTTCCCTGGCAGCTGGCCATTTCCGCTTTAAAGGGGAAGGACAGTCAATGGTTGATGTGTTTGTTAGATGGTTGGTGGTTGGAAAGATGGAAAGGAAGGGAACCCCATCTTTGGTGCATTTTGCCAAGGGATGTTAGGATTTAACTTTGTGCCAACTACTGGGTTTTCCGCATTAAGCCACGAAAAGTTGAGAACTTTTAGCAAAACAAATTTCGCCACCGAGCCCTCCTTCCCCCTCCGGTTCCCAGTTGGCATGAGGTCTTGCCTGATGTCCAGCTCCACGGGGTGCTGGCGGACCTGGGCGTGTCCTCCCCGCAGCTGGCCGGCCGGGATTGACTCGGACTCGGGAGTGGGGTGGGTTTGGTCTCAAGAAAGGGATTCGGACCTGTTCCAGGAACAAAAGCAACCGTGAAGGCAGGTTTTTTGTTTCCCTCCTTGTTTTGTTGTTTGTGTTTTGTTTTTTGGTTTTTGTTCTTCTTCTTGTCTTTTGCTTCTTCTTCTTTTTCCCGAAAGCATGGCGAAGGGTTCTTCCGCTGGGTTCACTTGAGTTGTCCTCATGAGAGTCATTACAAGGTGTCATTGCAAGGAATCATCATCATGAAAGTCAATGCAAGGAGTCATTGCAAGGAGTCATTGCAAGGAGTCATTGCAAGGAGTCATTGCAAGGAGTCATTGCAAGGAGTCATTGCAAGGAGTCATTGCAAGGAGTCATTGCAAGGAGTCATTGCAAGGAGTCATTGCAAGGAGTCATTGCAAGGAGTCATTGCAAGGAGTCATTGCAAGGAGTCATTGCAAGGAGTCATTGCAAGGAGTCATTGCATTGCAAGGAGTCATTGCAAGGAGTCATTGCAAGGAGTCATTGCAAGGAGTCATTGCAAGGAGTCATTGCAAGGAGTCATTGCAAGGAGTCATTGCAAGGAGTCATGAGAGTCATTGCGAGCTGCGCATGGAGTCAAGTGCAAGTTGCAAGTGCAAGGAGTCAAGTGCAAGTTGCAAGTGCAAGGAGTCAGGTGCAAGTTGCAAGTGCATGGAGTCAAGTGCAAGTTGCAAGTGCATGGAGTCAAGTGCAAGTTGCAAGTGTAAGGAGTCGAGTGCAAGTTGCAAGTGCAAGGAGTCAAGTGCAATTGACTTGCGAGGAGTTAAAATCTCTTCTTAGGGCGGCGGGGTAGTGCCGACGACACTACACGAAAATCGACCCTCTGCGGGGATCGGCGTGGTCGAGGTGCAAAAACCCATGGTTTTTTGCGATTTCTAAAGTGCTCGCGCGACCCTCTGCGGGGATCGGCGTGGTCGAGGTGCAAAAACCCATGGTTTTTTGCGATTTCTGCGCTGCTCGCGCGACCATCTGCGGGGATCGGCGTGGTCGAGGTGCAAAAACCCATGGTTTTTTTGCGATTTCTGCGGTGCTCGCGCGACCCTCTGCGGGGATCGGCGTGGTCGAGGTGCAAAAACCCATGGTTTTTTGCGATTTCTAATCATGCTCGCGCGACCCTCTGCGGGGATCGGCGTGGTCGAGGTGCAAAAACCCATGGTTTTTTGCGATTTCTGCGGTGCTCGCGCGACCCTCTGCGGGGATCGGCGTGGTCGAGGTGCAAAAACCCATGGTTTTTTGCGATTTCTAAAGTTCCCGCGCGACCCTCTGCGGGGATCGGCGTGGTCGAGGTGCAAAAACTCGAGGTTTTTTGCGACTTTTGGAGGTGCCAGGACTGCTGGGATGCAAATTGTCCAGTTCAGGTGATGCTGGGGATAGACGCTGGGCGCTGTGCGCGCATGCTGATTTCCTATGACTCCCCCTTGAACCTGTATTGGACTGAACCCCGCGGGGCGAAAAAGTATCTTTTTGAGGAGGTCCTAATTCCACACATGGCGGATGGAATGAGCTCAGCAACAAACCAAGCACAGTATCTGGCGCCCATTATTGAACTTTGAGCTTGCTGCCGGGCTGGCGTGGGGCGCAGCCCTTGATCTTTTCGCAAAGAGAAAAAAGAAAGAAAACTAGACCACGGTTGGACCGAAAGCAGAACATCGCAAGCGAGGTCGGCCTAACGCTGCAGGATGCGTTCTTTTTCCCTACACTTCGTGAAGCAAGCGCGAGACAGCACCAGGCAAGGTGCTCTGCGCAAACTGGTCGGTGCAAGTTGGTCTGCGCAAGTTGCTCTACGCAAGTTGCACTGTGCAAGTTGCTCTGCGCAAGTTGCTCCGCGCAAGTTGCTCCGGCAAGTTGGTCCCTGCAAGTGGCTCCCTGCAAGTTGCTCTGTGCGCGCTGCAAGTTGCTCTGTGCAAGCTGCTCTGTGCAAGTTGCTCTGTGCAAGTTGCTCTGCGTAAGTTGCTCTGCGCAAGTTGCTCTAGGCAAGGCGCTCTGCGCAAACTGGTCGGTGCAAGTTGGTCTGCGCAAGTTGCTCTGTGCAACTTGCTCTGCGCAAGTTGCTCTGCGCAAGTTGCTGTAAAATGCAAGTTGCATCTTGCGACGCCCGCCCGCGGACCAGGGAGGAATCGAACCCGCGACCCGCCGGTTCCGGGAGTTCGAGCAACCAAAAGCCAGGGTTCCTGCACTCCTGCATCATCCGCAACTGGCTCCATCCGAGCAATTCCCGCATCACCAGCATTTGCCCAGCCGTTTGCAACCGCACGCGCAGCGATGCCTCAAAATGCTGCAGAACCACGCGCATACACTGAAAAATCGACCGTGCTCTTGGAGCGCCGCAATCGAGATGCTATGAGTTGCCGTGCAAAATGGGATCCTGAACATGAAGCAGGCCCACTGGATCGGCTGAGAAAAGGCCTTTTGCCACACCTCGACCACACATGTTGCCAGCGAGGATTGCCGTTCCAAGAAAAAAAATAAAGACCAAGCGCTTCTGCGCGTGATGTGCACGCTGCAACTAGTACCGCCTCCGCAGGCAAACATCGCTTGGAGTCGGTTTCAGGCCGTGGTTGATGCTGCAAAACAGAGGGCCGCCCGCATCTATCGCTAACGCTTACGCGTTGGCTAACACAAAGTCGTCCGTTGAGGTACGTTTTTGGTTAGTGCAGCTTGCGTGTGTGGGCTGGAGTTGACACTGTTCACGGTTTTTCTGGAAGTTCAAAGAATCAGCCGCCTCAGGCACGGTCACCTTGAGGCCACCGTCCTCAAACTTCAAGGGTTGGGACAGCCGTCGGCGCGCAAGACTGTGCAATCCAGAGAAGTCTTGGCGCGCTGTTGCATTGACAAACTTCGCGTGGCAACCCCTGTGTGTGATAGAGATGTGTTTGCTTTGCGACATTGCAAAGCCGGCAGCCGGCTTTTCCTCTGATGTGTGCTTGGGATTGCAGCGACGTGAGGCAGCTAACGGTCAACGCTGTTCTGAACTCTCAGCTGGTTCACAAAACTCACACGACAGTTATTGGCGGTTCGCCGGACTTTTCAAAGTTCAGCTTGGCAGTCGGTGTAGCTTATGTCAGGTGGATGAAAGAGTCATGCTGCGCTGAAGCACGCGAAGGGGGGCGTGCGTGAGACTGCGAGCTTTTTTTGCGCGACCAGCTGGGTTTGTTAAGGCCCATGTTCTTCACGCCCCTTTTCCAGTATGGCGATGGTATTTCGTACCATGGGTTACTAGCGCGCTGTTGACGCAAAGTACTCACTTGTGATGCTGGGGCTAGGGTTTCCGAAGGCGGTTTATTTTACGTGCTTTCTGTGAAAGGCTGTTTTTGCCAGGCGCACTGTTGTCCAACCTCCGCTCATACCATTGAACAACTCGGGCGCAGCGCGTGTTCAGGACCAAAGTGTGCAAAAGACTTGACCTGCATTCCAACAAAACAAGCGGAGGGATTACCCAAGAACGGGCTGAAGAACATAGATTCACCGGTGACATACATGGATGAAAACGTGCTTTCATGCTTGAAAACAGGTTTGCGCGCCAATTTCACAGTATTTTCACTGTGATTTCATGCGACTTTGGCTGTAGACCACGGACTGCAATAACGCGCCAAAAGCGTTTGGCGTCAAGACATGTTTCGTTGGAACTGGCTTTGTAGAATCTACGGTGGCAGCAGCATGAGTAATCCACCAAATAGCACGCCATGGTTCATTGGAAGGCGCAAAAAAACAACAGGCGAGGTGCAAAGGACGCTAAAACAAAAAACCAGTCGTGGATTTCCGGGGGGGGGGGCTGAGCGCTCTATCTACAAGTGACATCAACATCCAGCAAGCAGAAATGTCAGGCGCTAGCACACACAACCAAACGCCACTTAACGCAATAGCGTCGCCAGCAAGGCCTAACGTCACGGTCGAGCTCTACACACAGCAATTCAACATAAACTTTCACTGTCTACTAAAATCATGACTCGGCCCCCCAACAAATAGTGGTTTGTGTTTGGTTTCCCTTCAAGCCAAGGCCGAAAAGGGTAGCTTTGAGACAAGACACCGTTTGTTTCTCTGAGTTGGATAGTGACTTCATTCTGGCACTTGCTGAAAAATTGGTCTTTTTGGGAATGGTTTCAACACGAAAATAAGGAGTGACCAAGGGACACCCGCCTGCTCCCTATTTTGAGGCACGCCCATGTCCCAGCGACAAAGGCAAGGTTTCCAATCGGCTTCAGTTTCAACCGAAAAGGGGGGGCTACTCAATTTCAGTTGAACTGCCCAAGTGGCTGCTGGTTCGTATTGCAATTCTATGAGGGGATGAGCCAGTGCTAGCCGGGCAAGACAGTCAAGACAGCTTTGCCCCCACTCAAACTAGAGAACCCCAGTTTTTGTGAATGGTTTGAAAGGTGAAAGAAGGGAAATCAACCATATAATGCGTCCTATTGAAAAAACACCCAAATGTTCAATTGAAACTGGCTGGCCTAAGTCAAAGTTCAGGATGGTTTTCTAATTGTCCATTTGCATCGTGTCATTCTCCGCAGTTTTTTCAGTTCGTGCTCAGGAGAACCGGTCATGGCTAGATGTTGGTGGCACGTTGAGCAACGGATGGCTTCAAATTGGGGGACCGTTTTTTGGACGGTGTTGAAGTTGCTCAAGATGTCAAGAGTAGGTTACAGGTTACCCATTCGGTTCTCAGCAAATGAGGGAATGACCCCGAACTAAACCCTCAAGTTTTGTGCATCCTGGCAAAATGGCCATGTCATCAGGGCTCCCCAAAGGCTCCCGACGGAAAGGGCTGCCTGACATTTGTGTGTCTGTGCCTGATTTTTTTTGTTTCAGCATGTTATTCTTGTTGTTTGTATTGTTCTCGCGCCAGGATCAGAAGCACCGGGGCTTCTCGCCCTGCGAGGCGCGGGACAGTCGGGAAGTTGGCCATGAGGTTTCGGGAGCTAGAAGTTGATCAGTATATGAAGCACATGTTCACAAGAAAAGAAATCCGAGGTGCGGCCATGCTGCCACAGATCATTGCCTTGCTGGCTGGCAGCCTAATTTCCATAATTCCTTGTTCGCCTATGCTAAACCCTGCTTGCCCATGGTTGCCGGCGGTTGGCTGACAAAGTTGTTTAGCCGGGGGTCAAGGGTTGATATCGTAACATCGTACTTCAGCGCTCCTTAAGAAAACATCCCAGACAAGAGGCACCTTGGATTGCAGACTCAGAAAAAGCGCAAAACCACACTCAGCTGCAGACTCAGTTTTTCCCCCTCCCCTCCCCCCTCCCCCGCTGTCCACGTGTGTGTGTGTGTGTGTGTGTGTGTGTGTGTGTGTGTGTGTGTGTGTGTGTGTGTGTGTGTGTGTGTGTGTGTGTGTGTGTGTGTGTGTGTGTGTGTGTGTGTGTGTGTGTGTGTGTGTGTGTGTCTGTGTGTGTGTGTGTGTGTGTGTGTGTGTGTGTGTGTGTGTGTGTGTGCGTGTGCGTGTGTGTGTGTGTGTGTGTGCGTGTGTGTGTGTGTGTGCGTGTGCGTGTGCGTGTGCGTGTGCGTGTGCGTGTGCGTGTGCGTGTGTGTGTGCGTGTGCGTGTGCGCGTGTGCGTGTGCGTGCGTGCGTGCGCGTGTGTGCGCGCGTGTGCGCGTGTGCGTGTGCGTGTGCGTGTGTGCGTGTGCGTGTGCGTGTGCGTGTGCGTGTGCGTGTGCGTGTGCGTGTGCGAGTGCGTGTGCGTGTGCGTGTGCGTGTGCGTGTGCGTGTGCGTGTGCGTGTGCGTGTGCGTGTGCGTGTGCGTGTGCGTGTGCGTGTGCGTGTGCGTGTGCGTGTGCGTGTGCGTGTGCGTGTGCGTGTGCACGTGCGTGTGCGTGTGCGTGTGCACGTGCGTGTGCACGTGCGCGTGCGTGCGTGCGTGCGTGCGTGCGTGGGTGGGTGGGTGGGTGGGTGGGTGGGTGTGTGTGTGTGTTGGTGTGTGTATCTTTCTTTTCTGATTATTGTCTGTGTTTTTTCCTGATTATTGTTTGTTGTTTTTCTTCTTTCTGATTGTGTTCTGTTTAATGTCTTTCTTTTCTGACTTGTTTGTTTTGGTGTGTATGTGCTGTGTTTTTGTTCATGGGTGTTCTTCATTTTTGCCTTCCCTCCCCACCCTTCCCCCCCCCTTCCTCTCCCCCCCCCATCTGCTTGTCCACTGTTTCGTTCTGATTTTTTTCTGATTTGTTTCCTGTGTGTTTTTCCCGTGTTGTTGTTGCTGTTTTTTCTGATTCTTTTTTGAGTCCGATTTTTTTCAGTCTGACTTCCAAGCTGTTTTTGTTTTTTTAGCTGTATTTTGTTTGTCATGTCTTTGATTTTGTTGTACAAACAAAATATTTGCTGTTTCTGGGCCTCTCCGTCCAAATAAAACTCTCAAGAATAAAGGGTTGAAAACACAATGACAAATGCTGGTTCAAGTAGGGGTCCCCCACCCAGATAGGATGGTCAATTCCCTGTGCCAATGAGTTGCAGGGTTGCTCCGCGCCAGATGATCAAGCCACAACTGGTTTCAAACCACAAGGGTAGACAAATGGTTTCGAACCACACGGGTAATTAGACCTTTGGTTTCCTTTGGTTTCCCTTCAGAAAACCCCGTCCGATCTTTGGGGCAGCTTAGGACGGGCCTCTGGACCTCCGCATGCCGCGCCCCCGGAGTCACCTTCCAGAGCGAGACGCGCGAGGCTTTCGACAGGCGACGGGGTTTGAATCGACAGGATAGAGAGGCCCATGGGAAAGCGTGCGCGAAACCCACCCATTTTCGGCCACTTGGTCAACAGCCAAAGCTGGGCGTTCTCGGGAGCATCCCTAACTGGGCTTCACTGAAGGCCTTTGTCCACTAGTGCACCTAGAGTAAAGCGCATGAAGCTTTGAGAAGACTTTGGCAAACTACGGAAGTGTGAGTTCGTATGTTTAGTAATTCACCTCAAACAAGTCGACCTCTACCCTGCAGAACATGCAAGAATATGTGTACGAATTTACTGCCTCATCCCATGTCTGGCGAACTGATCCCAGGCAAGTCCTTGAGGCTTGACATTCCCTGCATTCTGCCCTAATCCGCTTTGGATTCGAGGAAAACAAAGTAAAATCAGGGAAGCCACGGGGATCTATTTGAATCCAAGTGGACGGGGATGCAACTGATGCACTCACCCTTGTTCTTTGTGGCAAACCACGCACTGGGGATGGGGAGCCCAGGACCTTCAGTGGACACAAACCGACGCTCTGCCACCGGAATTCCACCGCCCTAGGAACCCGGAGACGGGGATCCCAGCCTCGGAGTGGCTGGACTCCGTGCGCCGCCCTCGGGGCGGTCGGGGCGGTCGGGGTCAGGGCGGTGAGTCAGAGGTTGGGCTGGTTTTAAAAGCATTTGCCAAGGAAGACTTGTGACCCATTCGCCAAGTATTTGGGAAAACACGAATCCTGAGGTAGACCACGTTAATGCCGGTTTTGGTTTGTGACTCAGTTGGGGTTCCAGGTTCCATTTCCCCCGCATTCTTGCAAAGGGTTCTGCGGAGAGTGGAGGTTTTCGCCAGGTTCTGGTGCTCTTTGGGCCCCCAAAAGGGACGTCCAATGTGAGACACAACGTCCCTTTTTAGGGTTGGCTTAGTTTGTCTTAGAAGGACACCAAAAGGAAAACCACAGTTTTTAGTGTCCCCCCACTTTGACATACTACACACGCACCCAGGATGAGAATCAACCCCTGGTTCATTAGAGGGGGTGTCCCCCTGACTGGTAGGATGAGTTTGTTAATCCAGAGTTCCCATTGCCCACATTTCCCATTCGGTAAAAAGAAGCCGTCGTTTGGCCCTAGGAGAATTGGTCCGCCTCTCCCAAGCCGAACTCAAGGAAGTCTTCCAGTGCAGGCTACAAGAAGGCGGAGCCCCCCCCCCAAAAGTAGCACGAGGGGCAAGCACCCGAATCCT